GGCGGGACTAGGCGGGCCGGGCCCGGGAGAAAGAAGCCTCCCTGGAGTGATCTCCTTCCTTCAAAAATCGTCTCCAAGCCCCGAGGAAAAGAGGGACACTTTTATCCAGCTGAGTCCGACTGTGCTTGGTCTGCTGAGGAAAATTAAAGCCTTCTGATTTTCAGCACTGTCAGTAGATCCCGCGGTGAGAAGGAGAGGAGGAAAGAAAAGAAAAGGAAAGGAAAGGAAAGGAAAGGAAAGGAAAGGAAAGGAAAGGAAAGGAAAGGAAAGGAAAGGAAAGGAAAGGAAAGGAAAGGAAAGGAAAGGAAAGGAAAGGAAAGGAAAGGAAAGGAAAGGAAAGGAAAGGAAAGGAAAGGAAAGGAAAGGAAAGGAAAGGAAAGGAAAGGAAAGGAAAGGAAAGGAAAGGAAAGGAAAGGAAAGGAAAGGAAAGGAAAGGAAAGGAAAGGAAAGGAAAGGAAAGGAAAGGAAAGGAAAGGAAAGGAAAGGAAAGGAAAGGAAAGGAAAGGAAAGGAAAGGAAAGGAAAGGAAAGGAAAGGAAAGGAAAGGAAAGGAAAGGAAAGGAAAGGAAAGGAAAGGAAAGGAAAGGAAAGGAAAGGAAAGGAAAGGAAAGGAAAGGAAAGGAAAGGAAAGGAAAGGAAAGGAAAGGAAAGGAAAGGAAAGGAAAGGAAAGGAAAGGAAAGGAAAGGAAAGGAAAGGAAAGGAAAGGAAAGGAAAGGAAAGGAAAGGAAAGGAAAGGAAAGGAAAGGAAAGGAAAGGAAAGGAAAGGAAAGGAAAGGAAAGGAAAGGAAAGGAAAGGAAAGGAAAGGAAAGGAAAGGAAAGGAAAGGAAAGGAAAGGAAAGGAAAGGAAAGGAAAGGAAAGGAAAGGAAAGGAAAGGAAAGGAAAGGAAAGGAAAGGAAAGGAAAGGAAAGGAAAGGAAAGGAAAGGAAAGGAAAGGAAAGGAAAGGAAAGGAAAGGAAAGGAAAGGAAAGGAAAGGAAAGGAAAGGAAAGGAAAGGAAAGGAAAGGAAAGGAAAGGAAAGGAAAGGAAAGGAAAGGAAAGGAAAGGAAAGGAAAGGAAAGGAAAGGAAAGGAAAGGAAAGGAAAGGAAAGGAAAGGAAAGGAAAGGAAAGGAAAGGAAAGGAAAGGAAAGGAAAGGAAAGGAAAGGAAAGGAAAGGAAAGGAAAGGAAAGGAAAGGAAAGGAAAGGAAAGGAAAGGAAAGGAAAGGAAAGGAAAGGAAAGGAAAGGAAAGGAAAGGAAAGGAAAGGAAAGGAAAGGAAAGGAAAGGAAAGGAAAGGAAAGGAAAGGAAAGGAAAGGAAAGGAAAGGAAAGGAAAGGAAAGGAAAGGAAAGGAAAGGAAAGGAAAGGAAAGGAAAGGAAAGGAAAGGAAAGGAAAGGAAAGGAAAGGAAAGGAAAGGAAAGGAAAGGAAAGGAAAGGAAAGGAAAGGAAAGGAAAGGAAAGGAAAGGAAAGGAAAGGAAAGGAAAGGAAAGGAAAGGAAAGGAAAGGAAAGGAAAGGAAAGGAAAGGAAAGGAAAGGAAAGGAAAGGAAAGGAAAGGAAAGGAAAGGAAAGGAAAGGAAAGGAAAGGAAAGGAAAGGAAAGGAAAGGAAAGGAAAGGAAAGGAAAGGAAAGGAAAGGAAAGGAAAGGAAAGGAAAGGAAAGGAAAGGAAAGGAAAGGAAAGGAAAGGAAAGGAAAGGAAAGGAAAGGAAAGGAAAGGAAAGGAAAGGAAAGGAAAGGAAAGGAAAGGAAAGGAAAGGAAAGGAAAGGAAAGGAAAGGAAAGGAAAGGAAAGGAAAGGAAAGGAAAGGAAAGGAAAGGAAAGGAAAGGAAAGGAAAGGAAAGGAAAGGAAAGGAAAGGAAAGGAAAGGAAAGGAAAGGAAAGGAAAGGAAAGGAAAGGAAAGGAAAGGAAAGGAAAGGAAAGGAAAGGAAAGGAAAGGAAAGGAAAGGAAAGGAAAGGAAAGGAAAGGAAAGGAAAGGAAAGGAAAGGAAAGGAAAGGAAAGGAAAGGAAAGGAAAGGAAAGGAAAGGAAAGGAAAGGAAAGGAAAGGAAAGGAAAGGAAAGGAAAGGAAAGGAAAGGAAAGGAAAGGAAAGGAAAGGAAAGGAAAGGAAAGGAAAGGAAAGGAAAGGAAAGGAAAGGAAAGGAAAGGAAAGGAAAGGAAAGGAAAGGAAAGGAAAGGAAAGGAAAGGAAAGGAAAGGACCCCCGCGCTCACCCACGCTCGGACGGTGCCGCAGAAGTTTTGTAAGTGACAGCGATCCCCGCCGAAGGCCGCTTCGGACGGGGCTGTTCAGGAGGTCACGGCACGCCGCTCTCCCGCTCCGGTCGGGAGTAAAACGCACTTGATTTCAACGAAATTAAATCCCAGGATTCAGAAAATCAAGTGTGTCAATAACCGGGGGAATAGGAGAAGGGAGAAAATTGCAGCTAAACTGTGCAAAGTCAAATTACCCTCCCCCCCCTTTAATTTCTGTTTTCATAAAGGGAGAGAAATTTGGTGAGGGAAGGAAGTGTATTTTTCGTGGGAAAGGCAAACTCCCCAGAGTGTGCGGAGTATCATTTGCCAGACGGTCTCCGAGCACTGCCCGCGCTCATCCTACGCGGACGTGAAACGCAATTCATGCGTAACTGAAAGTTTAATCGTAACGGCGTCTAAACGCACGACTGCAACTTGCAATTCATGGGACAGCTTTGATTTTCCGAGGTATCTCACAGTGGAAATTATGAGTTTTTAAATATAGTCTATCGGATTTTAAATAATGAATGAACTTCAAGGCAGAGCCTAATTTTAAATTCTTATAGAGTTTGGTGTGGAAACGTAATGTACTTTTCCCACATGCAGTACAAGTATGAGAGAATTAACAAGCAACTCAGGATCTGATTCATAATATAAAGACCGATTAAATCAGTATTACGTATTTTTCTTGTGAGCTTAGTAGAAGGCTATAGTTTTGGCTTTGCTATCTCAGTTTGCTTTTAATTTAATTAGGACTGTGCTTGAAAACTGTGCTTTTAGTATAAAATTAGTTATATATTTTAGTAACATAATAATGTAGTTACTCATACTAAGAACAAAACACAGATCACTGCTTAAGAAGAAAGTCAGCTCTCAGCCAGCTCTCTCTGAGATGAATGTTGCTACAAATTATTGTACTTTATCATATTCGAAGCTAAAGCTTAAATTTGCTTGTGTTTCATTTTATTTAAGAGAGGACAGCCAAGATTCCTCAACTGCATGCTGGTTTTGTTCAAAATTTATTACTGGATTGCATTT